TATTTTGAATCTCTAAAATGGTATTTAATTCAACTTTTAAAGCAAGAAGTCTCAACAAAAAAATTAATTTAATTACTGAAAAGTGGATTTACAAATTTTATTGAAAATTCAAATGATTGGCTTTTGAACTTTTGTTGGGTAAAAATGATTGCATAATTAATTTCTTAAAGACCAATTATTTCTAAATAAGAGATATCAATAAACAAAGTGGAATAATAGCAAAAATGGAATCAACTCATTAAATTAAAATATATATCTCAATTATCTTTTAATACAAATTTGGGTAGATTATCATTCTGTTAAAATAATCAAGGTCCAGAAACCCACGAAATTGATTAATAGATAAGATAATTGAGATTAAAAGTTTTTAATTCTTTATTGACTTTCTCCTTAAAACTTTAGAATATTCTTCCATTAATTAATTTTCATATAAAGAAAAAGAATAACAAGAATAATTCAAAATTGACTATTTTTATTCATCAATTAGAGGGATCTACAGAATAATTGAATTAATTATAAATAGGATATGAGTAACTATACAAAAAAATAAAGAAAGATTTTGAAATATTAAAGGATGTTTTTTAAGACTGAAAAAGTAAAATAATTATAAATTGAAGAGAAATAAGAGGTGGTTAAATAAATGATTAAAAAGTCTTTTTGCATTTTCAATTATAACTCTAATGTTTACAAAAACTTTTTATTGTATTTTGAACGATTTTAAATAATTTTAAATTCAATCAAATTAGAAAATCCTCAAAAAGAGCAATTAAAAATTTAACTTTTAAAATAAATAATCAATATAGAAAATTATTTTAATGAAAAATGCAATGAGTGATTAGATTAATTATAAGATGAGAAAAAAAAATTAATCATTTCTCTAACGACCCTTGAAGTTAATTTTGAAAAAATTAATTAATAAATAACAATTTTAAGATTCATAAATAGCTATTTTAAGATTCATAAATAGCTCAGCAATTTTTATTGATTGATTCTTTCATCGATTCTATAAAAAATGTGAAAAATTTATATATTGTGGTTATAGATTAAATTAATGAAATAAAGAAGTTCAATTAAAATTATCAAAAGAATACAATATAAAGGTTTAATCAAGAAGGAAGTTGGAAAATATTAGAATAATTAGCTCGAAAGATAATTAATTAAAATCATTTTAAATCTTAACTTTTAATTATAAATGAATTATTCTAAGCTATTTTGAGTAAGTTAGGATGTTGGAGTTTTAAATTAATAAATTATAATTCAATCAGATATTTTTTGGGAGACTTTGTTCATCAAATAAACTTATAGAAGTAATAGATAGAAGAAATCATCAAATTTATTCAGAAAAATTTTAGTTCGTTATAAGTCCTTGAATAATCTTCAAGTTAAAGTGCAATTTCTGTATCTGAAATTAAAATCAATAATATCAATATTGCGAACGATATTTTAAAGAAATAATAAAAAATTATTTAGTCATTTTTCAATCAAGAAGAAAAATAATAATCAAGCTCTGTTTAACAATAAAGAAGGAGAAATTAATGAATTTTTGGTTGAAGATTCTTCAAATAAGGATGTTTTACTTTTAAGGGGAATAGCAGGTTCAGGTAAGAGTAGGGCTGCTGCAAAAATAGAAGAGTTTTTATGGTAAAAAATAGATTCAAAAGAATCTTCTTGGATTCCTATTTATGTTTCATTGCCAACATTGAAAGAACCAAAATTCAATTTAATAGATTAGGCATTAGAGTCAGATTTTTATTAATTTGACAAAATATAAGTTAAAGAGTTTAAAGAGGCCTTTTATAAGAGGGTTTGAAAATTATTCTTTTCCTAGATAGCTATGATGAGATGAAGCAAGATTTAATTTAATCAAATTTATATCAAACTAATAGATTTTAAAAAGATTTATTTGGTTTTGTTTAAGATTCTAAATAAGTAAAGGAATAATTAAAAGTAATTACATCAAGTAGTTACTAAACTTGGTTTTATGGGGAGAAACTAGAATCTTTAAAGGAAGTTGAATTACTAGGGATTAATGAACATAAATATTTAGAGGAGTACATTTTGCTAACTTTAAAAAAAGAATTTATTGAGCTTTATGGTTTTACTAAATAAATGATAAAACAAAGAATAGATATAGAAGAATTTTGCACATTTTGGCAGAAGATATCATATTATTTAATTCAAAATCAAAATAATTCCAGGAAAAATCAGTTTATCAACGAACAGCAAGCAAGATAAATAATATAAATTCTCAAATTAGAAATAATTTTTCAAAAAATATCTAAGGAGTAAATTGTCAATTTAGAAAAGACAATTATGGATTTATGGGGAATACCAAAATTTGAAAAATTAATTATTAATGCTCAAATATAACATAGATTAACTACTCCATTCATGATGGAGATAGTTGTTTAAGTTCTTCCGACAATGACAAAAAAGTATTTTGATGCATCAACTTTTAAAGATAAGTTTATCAATAATTATGATAAAATAAAATTAGAAACTCAAATTGAATAATAATAAATATAAAAGTACGAAAATAGCTATTAATAGTTTTAGAAGAATTTATTGAAATTGATTTTAAATTTAAAGCTTTAAAAATTTGGGATTAGCTATAAAAGGAATAATATTTGCAAAAATTCTCTCTAATTGGCAAAATAAAAAAAACAGAATTATTAACAATAGATAATGCTGCTATATTGATTAGAGCTTTAATTGTGAAAAAATTGACTGTTTTTGATTTCTACAAAACCTTTGTCGAATTTTATCATTCACATTAGATAAAAAATTAGGAAGAATTATTAATTACGAGAGTTTAATGATAGATCTTTTCAATTTTTCGTAATCTTTGGCTATTAATTTAACAATTAATGAACGAACATAAATTAAATATATTTAAAAAGGATAATTAACCTTGCAATTTGTAGAAATAGACAATACTTAAGAAGATGAATGGAAGGATGAATATTTTAATGATTTTAAACCTAATGGTGAGTATAAAGTTAATCAGAAATTGGATATTATTAATATCAAAGGGACGTAACAATTCCTTCACTCATAAATCAATTCAAGAATTCTATGTTGAACATTTATTTTGAAAATATTGGATGATTCAAAAATTATGGATAATTCAGATTTTTAAAGCTAACTTTAAAATTAAAAATTGGAAAACACTTTTGCTAAATTAAAATAAAAGGATTAAGCCTAATTTTTTTCTCAAATATAGAATAATTTTTCTTCATCATCAGTAATTCATTATTAAATAAAAATACATTCAATCTATCATATGATAATAATAAAGGAGTATTTTCGTTAATAAGAGAGGAAATGAAGCAAAAATTCAATCCAAATACTCAAATTATCATCAATTTTAAAGGAATTTGAGCAGGCTTCTTCAAATAGGTTATTCTTATTAGGTTATAATAATGATTTATTAGACTTTTAATAACTTTAGAATATAAGAATATCAAATATTGATTTAGATGGAATTAGTTTTTATGGTTCAGATTTAAGTAATTCTGTGTTTAAACATGTAAGTATTAGATCATGCAAATTTAATAATGTAATCTATCTTAAGCAAAATGGACTGATATTGCATGCGATGAATTACATGGATTAGTCAGTCATAAAAGTTCAATTGAGTATCTTCATTTTTCACACAATGGAAAACTTTTATTATCTATTAGTAATATTGATTAATCACTTATGAAAGATATAGAAATTTTACAATATTCTTTCTCTGATTTAAGAAAATTAAATGAATTTGGAAGTATGGAAGATTATTATCAATTAAATACAGCAATTTTTTCAAACGATGATTAAATTTAAGGATTATCATGGTATTTGTCAGAATGTAATCCTGGTGGTAGTATTGAACTTTATGCTGTTCAAATATTTGATTTTAATGCAGTAAAATCACTTGGTTTTTCAGATTAGAATTAATAAGCTGTCCATGGTATGAAATTCTTGTAATAAAACCTTAGCTTTTTGTAATAGGTCGAACATTATTACATTTTTATGTATAACAGAAAATAAATTTGTCACATTATCAGGTCACTCTGAATAAGTAAACTCTATCTTATTTATGGAAGATGATTAAATTTTAATTTCTTGCAAAATAATTGTTAGGACATTAGATAAATATTAAGGAAATAAAATTTTTTATCTGATTCCTTCTTATTAATTTCCAATGATTCATAGTATTAGTTTTATGGGATTGTGAGAAATATGAATTAATAAATGGTCTTACAGGCGTCAATGTTGGTAAAAAGTAATTGATACAGAATCTGGTTTTTAGATATCAATATTATACTGTCATAAACATTTAATTATTTAAATTTTATTTTCACCTGACAACTGTTACTTAGCTACTTGCAGTTTAGACTATACTATTATTTTATGGGATGTTAACTAACTGAAATAATATATTCTTGAAGGGCATCAATAATTTGTAAAGAAAATTGCTTTTTCACCAAAAAGTTGCTTTTTATCATCTGTTTGCTAAAATGTATTAAAAGTTTTTGATACTCGATCTTTAAAATAAATATCATAAATGAACTCCTCAAAAATTTTAAATACTTTAAAAGATATTTTATTTTCATCAGATGGTAAATAAATAATTATATCCAATTCTAATAGTATTAATTAAATAGCATTATCAGCAGTTTTTGCATCCTCCAGTAATGATAACACCATTAAACTATTCTAAATTGATAAATATATAGAACAATATGAATCTGAAAGTAATTATTAAATAAAAATAGAAATTTTATCAAGTTATAAAACATTGGCCATTTATACTCCTATTACAGCCTAAGAATGTTAAATAAAAGGAGCTGAAATCTAATAAAAAATTGGATGGAATTTAATATAATTATTAATTTAAAAGGGTGCCAAAGATCAATAAATATTTATTAAATCATAATAATATTAATGATTTGTACATCATTAATCTTCCAATATTTTATATTAATAAATTATTTTGTGTACCAAATGGTAAACTTTAAGTTAATACAACCTTTTTGAAAAACACAAATTTTTTTAATTTTATAGTTATATTAGAT